ACTAAATCCTGCTGCGTGGACGTGTCTCCTCGTCTTCTATCAATAATATTTTTAATTTGGTTAAGTAAAGACTGGGCTTTTTATTGTCTTTTAGCAGAAAAAACTGCAGCAAATCAAGTAATCCAAAGTATTCAGATTACGTTACTCACTTTAAGTAATTTCATGGATTCCATTACAAACTACATTTTGGGGTATGTAATCTGTAATCTGTAGGGGAATACATTTTAAAAGTAACCTTCCCAACACTGCTGAAAATATTTACATTTCTAAAGGTGGATTGCGCAAATTTTCAGGTGGAGGGTCCGTCACCTGCTTGTCTCCATGGAGATGTTCTGCTTTTCCTGGAATGTTCCATGTTATGACATTAAACACATCTCTCCATCATTTATTCATTATAGATGTTCAAAAAGACAATAATTCCTACTGTAAATAAGGTTGCCGTGCCACAGATCTGACCTGTAATGCAGCCTATAGTGTCCTACAAAGGCAAAAATGAGTTCATGTGATTTTGTTTGTATTTGAGATCTTGTTTATCATGTGAATAAATATCGTGAAAAATATTGAGCTCAAAATTGACCTTTGACTCTTATTTGTTACTTCCTGTCCTCTGCCTTTGTATCATGAGCCAAAAATAAGGAGTCGTGCAAAAGGCAAAAGGCAAAAAGGCAAAAGGCAATGAAAGTGTATAGTTTGTTTGTGATTTAGTTCATAAATATATTTTATTTTAAAATCCAATCTCTCGCTTCCTTCTTTGTGTTGCGGCCTTGGCACAAGGTCTCAACACATTCAGTAAATATACCTTTGTATTCACTTATACTTTAATGATCTTTAATGTGAAAGTATTTGGTGTATTTATTCATACTGTACATCTTTACTGCAAAGTCACTTGTCTGTCAAACTGTTTAACAGTGTAAGAGATCGGCATTAAACAGGAAATTCAAAGCTCTTTTATATCATTTCAAACAAACTCCAGGATAACTCGACTTTGGTGAGGTGTTTTTCTTATAACGGATCGAAGAAAATCAAGTAAATAATGATCATGTCAGTTTCTGCCTTTTGCCTTTGCACAAATCCTTATTTTTGGCACGTGATACAAAAGGCAGAGTACAAGAACCAGATAAGGGTCAAAGGCCAATTTTGAGCTCACATACAAATATTTCTTCATTTTTGCAATTAGTTGTCAAATTTTGGGAGCCCTGCCTATTCTACTTTTGTCTGAGAAACTTTGAAGTCATTTTTCTCAGTTTCACACTCTGGTGAGTTAAGCTCTTTTGACTTTGTAGGGCAGTATAGTTGTCTCCCTTGAGATAGACAGGTTTAATATCTACCAATCTAGACAAAACAATAACACCCCCATGGACACTAGCACCCTCCACCAGAAAAGTTGCGCAATGCCCCTTTAAAGGCTCCGTATCAGATTTCTACTATAAAGAAATTGGAAAAACATCAAGCATCCTAATTATTCACCACAATGAGTTTCTAAGCGCTTTTCACAACTTTTAGAGATCAGAGCGGAGTTTTGCTGCGATTGTGAAGCTAACTTCAACTAGCATGCTAACGCGTAAATCCTGATTATTTTTGCACAAATGAATTCAAATACAAGCTGAGAGGTCAAATGAATTTTAAAAAACTATATTCTCGAACCACTCTCAAAAGCATGTGTGTTACCAGTCGGGATGTAATGATATCCAAATCTCTCAGTTCGATATTATCACGATACGCATCTCACGGTACGATATTTATTGCGATATTGATTAGAGCTTAATATAATTCTAGACTTTTTTGCTTTTAAAATACCTTGACAAGATTTTGGCGTGAATTATTTCCATGATAATTCCAAGGATTCAAGTAAAAACATATTTCTTCATGTTGTCTGCACTGAAATGAATCATGGGATATGTAGTTTCTGATGTTCATAAGCTGTTGCTGCTATTAAACCATGTATGTAAGCAAAGGAACTTGTAATTGAATATATTGTGACAGCCCACGGTATTATTATGAGACTTTTGACGATACGATATCGCGATATTCCAGTTATGGTTACATCCCTAGTTACCAGACGTACAGTAGACTTATGGAACAGCTTAGATGACCATATCAAAGCTTGGACTAATTTGGTGCACTTCAAAAAACAATATAAAATTCTAATTCAATTCTAACAGAAATACCTAGAAAACTAACATACTTTTCTTTAACATTGCCTTTTATTTTGATAGGACCATAAACGATGAATTTTGTGAAGTCTTTATCATTATTGTTAGTTTGTACGACTGTAAACGAAAACAAAACTGGCATCTTTGAAAAATGAAGATAAGAATTTAAAAAAAAAAAAAGTGATTGTATTTCTGTTAGAGGGGTTAATATATGGAACACTGTACGGGACAATAAAAAAAAAAAAAAGTCTAACACTGTAGAAGCCTTTAAAAAAAAAAGAGTATAAAGTGTTATGTTTTGAAAGATATCGAGCTCTGGAATGAACAAATTATGCATGAAATTTAGTTTGATTTAATTTATATTTTGTGTTTTATCTATGCAGTAAGTCATAAGTGAAATTGTAAATGCAAATTTGCTGTTCTTATGACGCTTTTCTTTCTTGGAATTCTGTCATTGTTTAACTTTTTACTTCTGCCTCAACACTTTGGGTGATGATCCATGGGGTTGTGGTCTATGTTTTGTTTTGTTTTGTTTTGTAGTGCTGCAAAATGACTACTACTACTACTATTGGATGGTAAATTTCTTCATAATTAGATGCAAACGGCGCACGCATATTTTGACTTCAAGAGCTGCTTATGCAATATATTCATACAGGGGCAAGACAAATTTCGCTTAAATATACATGGGGAAAAATCGTTTACAGGGTCTTTGAAATGATCACTTGCCATGAAGCACTTAAGGCTTAACGATAATATGAGCTATATATATTTTTTCGACTGTTCAAACACGTTGCCTATAGACATATTTATGCAGTGACAGAACAGCTATTTTGTGCTGTTCTATCACTACATTTCAAACTTGCCTTCACACGTTTTTAATTGGTGTCTATAAAATATTAAGTTGAAAAACACACACAAGAAGAAACGGATACTAAAACAAGTATCGAAACTAGATTCTCATTTGAGCAGGTATCGATACTAAAAAAAGTCACATTCACAGGACAGAAATGGACCTTACTATGATTTCATGTTGAAAATCACACATTATTTACAAGATATAGAAAGTTATATTTTGAAAAGTAAAGGATTCTACCACTTACAGCTGCAAATGCAAATGACCAAGCCCCAGATTTACGGTATTGTCATTAAACCAAACATTTTCAAAAGACAAAAAGTTGAAAATACACTTAGCCTAGTTTACAAGTTTTAATGAACCTGTAAGAACTATCATTAATCCAAGCAACTATTTTGTGGAATATACCTTTAAGTACTCGGTTAATGTGGTGCGTTGTAATGACAGAAAAACAGAAAAGATGCATGTTCCGTTTGCATGAAAAAAAAACAAAAAAAAAACATGGCTCCTTACATGTAAAAAGGGGAAAAAAACTACACAACGGACTGAGAAACAGTGCAGATGTTTACAGAATCAACAATAAAGCTCTTATTTATCTAAGGTAAAAGAAGTTATACATGATGATGTTGATGAATGAATGTTAGGAGACTTTTGGAGAGGAGATCTGAGTCTTCTGCATTTAAAAGACACATGATGCAAATTATCAGCTGTGTTTGGATTGTCTCAAATTAGGATGGACGATTTTCAGGCTCTGTGGTCTGGTTCTAGTCTTTGTCAAGACTAAACATGGGGAGTCAGCATTTCAGTTTTCTGCAGCTAAAACCTGGAACAATCTTCCTGAACATGTGAGACAGACTCTACTTTGACTTTGTTCCAGGCTCAAAACAGTTCTGTTTGGCTGTGCATATGACTGAAAGGTTTTCATTCTGCTCTTGTCTCTCTCATTTAATGTCTCTCTCTCCTCTCTTTTTTAATTTTATAATGATTATTTATGTTTTGATTTGTTTGTGTTGTGATTTTCTGGGTCTTTCCCAGGGCCTCCTCCTGTTGGGACATGCCCGGAACACCTCCTGAGGGAGGTGCCCAGGAGGCATCCAGAACAGATACCCGAGCCACCTCAGCTGCTTCCGTCGACATAGAGGAGCAATGGCTCTACTCCGAGCTCCTCACCTTATCTCTAAGGGAGCGCCCAGCCACCCTGCGGAGGAAACTCATTTCAGGCTTTATCAAAGCTCATGACCATTGATTGGAGAAGGAACACAGAACGTGACCCAGGACACACTGGAGAGACTATGTCTCTGGGCTGGCCTGGGAACACCTTGGGGTCTCCCTGGAACTGGAAGAAGTGTCCAGGGTGAAAGAACTTCCTTAAATTCCTGCTACGCGACCCAGCCCCGAAAAAGTGGAAGAAAATGGATGGATGGATTGTGATTTTAATATATTTCTTATTCTATAAAGCAAAATACTTGCCTTTCCTAAATCATATGTTGTTTGCATTAAGAAAAAAATAATAATTAAATTAAAGGTGCACTGTGTAACTTTTTGGTTGAGGGTCCTTCAACTTCTTGTTTCTGAGGATATGTTATTGCTCTGTTTAGAATACTCCACAATATGGCATTAAACAGCTCTACTTTACATTTATTCAATTACAGGTGGTTTTATAGCTCAAAAAAAAAAAAAATATAGAAAAATGGACATTCTGATTGTAAGAAGGATCACCCTTCCACAGATCTGACCTGTAACTTGGTCTGGTTTGGTCTTCATGAAGATAGAAAGGTTTAATACCAAACTGAAACATTCCAGACAAAGCAATAACATCTCCATGGAGAAAAGCATTTGACGGATCCTCCAGCAGAAAAGTTACACAATGCACTTTGAATCCATTTTACTTGTCAAGTCAAATCTACTCAAATCAAGTTACATCTTCTTAATATGCTTAACTGGAACTTCAGATGTGACTTTTTTTGCAGTGAGGGTCTTATTTTGACTCTTACCGATGGTCGCCCTCTCCGCCACGGACACGTTGAGACCTTTGGGGAAGACCGGGATGTTGTCGTTGATGTCATTCACGACCACATCGAAGCTCCCAGAACCTTCCACCAGCTTGTTATTCCCGTCGTACATGGTGGCACTGAGCCGGTACACGCTCTTCTCCTCCCTGTCCAAAGACCTGGTCACAAACAGGTCTCCGTTGTTGTCCACCGTGAAGATCGTGTTCGCGCCTTCTCCTTCTATCTTGAACTTTTTCACTTCTAGCTTCACGGTGGATTTCAGCTGCAACAAGAAACAGAAAAAACAGTTGTAAAATGTGGATAAAGTAGCAAAAAAAACCCATAACACCAGGATCACGTAGAGCAAAGACCAAGCAGTTACAAAGGGAGGGGTGACAATTTTTCAATGTAAAGTCAAACGGAGCCGGAGTCGATGGAGCCGGAAGCGCCCCCATGCTCACTTCCTATTTGGAACAAGGCAGCTAGAGGGTTAGCGATGTCCATTTATATATACAGTATGCGTGGGAGGCAGTTTTGGGGCTAAATTGTTGAGATATTCTTCAAAGAGCTGATTTGCACAAGCTAAACCCCGGGGTGTGAACCATCAAAGTGAATGGAAGTGACACTGATAACGTTTAAACTCAACATGTTTCAGTGGGAGACCGGAGAATCTTCAACTATTTAGATACTGTTTACATGACAAACCATCAAAAAAATGGATTCTTATGAGCTTTAAGCCACGTTAGAAAGTTGTTACTTTATCGAAAACAGACCTGGAGTTGTGTTTTGATTTATTCACACAATCGAGGTTACATTTACACTGTACCACCGTATCGGAAACGCTTTGTGTCTGTGTCTGCAATCGAAGCCTGCCGTAACGTAACAGCGTCACATCACAACGTCACAACGTCACAACGTCACAACGTCACAACGCCATGTGAGAGGTAAAAACAAGGAAGTGGAGCACCGGGTCTGAAGCTGCAGCAGGAGATTTTGAGCCGAGGAAGTGTCGCAAGTGTGAAAGTAGTAAGTAGTTCTAGCTATGCTGTTTCAAAGTCCTGTTTTAGTCCTGTTTTTAGTCCTGGTTTAGTCCTGGTTTCGACCTGGTTCAGTCCTGGTTTAGTTCCGGTTTAGTCCTGTTTTTAGTCCTGGTTTAGTCCTGTTTTTAGTCCCGGTGTAGTCCTGGTTTAGACCTGGTTCAGTCCTGGTTTAGTTCTGGTTTAGTCCTGTTTTAGTCCTATTTAGTCCTAGTTCAGTCCTGATTCAGTCCTGGTTCAGTCCTTCTGGTTCAGTCCTGGTTTCATTTCTGGTTTAGTTCTGGTTTTGTCCCGGTTTAGTCCTCCTGGTTCAGTCCTGTTTTAGTCCTGGTTCAGTCCTGGTTTTGTCCTGGTTCAGTCCTGTTTTAGTCAGTCCTGGTTTCTGGTTTAGACCTGGTTTCAGTCCTGTTTTAGTCCTGTTTTACTCCTGGTTTAGTCCTGTTTTAGTCCTGTTTTAGTCCTGTTTTAGTCCTGGTTCAGCCCGGGTTTAGTCCTGGTTTAGTCCTGGTTCATTCCAGGTTCAGTCCGTATGCGGCGCAAAAGTCCGTCATCTCAATCAGTGTTTCTGCTCATTGAATAATGCCTGTGATGTGGGATTTTTGACAGTAGTAATCACGCTGAGCACTCGCAGGTACCTGACCTGGTGCAGGACTTTGGTATGATATAAGTTTCTGTGATGTTTGCAAATGTTCATGTGCACTAAAACTTTGAAAAGAATTGCGGATGAAATTGAAATTGCAATATCTGCCAGAAAAATCCCAATTCAATTCAATTTTTTTCTTAAAATCGTTCAGCCCTTAATTCCAGTGAAGCATATTGAGTTTAAAAACAATGTGCAGCACTTCCTGTATTACCACATGACATCACAAGGTGGAACAGAGTGGAACATTCTAACATAGATCAGAAAATAGCGTAATATAGTGTACATTTTTATTGTTAGAGTCTCAGTTTTCCTGTAATATATCCCCACATCGAGCAATTATTATTTTTATGACTCAGGTGACGGTTCAAACCTTAGTTGACTTCAAAAAAGACATTTCAAACTGTCGCACAAACACGTCGTACTCACTTGTCCGATCTTATACGGGATGGGGGCTGGCTTCTCCTCCTCCACGTACAGAGAGTTCCACTGCCACTCTCTCTTTTGCCGGAACAGGATCGGGTGGGACTCCTTCTTCACTATGGCCTCGTCTTTCCCCAAAGCCGCTCCGAAATCTCCCAACGTGATCCAGAGAGCCAACAAGGTCCACAGCTCCAGTCGCGCCATCATCATCTGGAAGGGAACAGAGGAGGGAGAAGGGGAGAGGAGATCACATTAGTGCAGAAATGGCGATTGTTTTCATGTTTTAGTAAATAGGTCAAATACGTTCGACAACATTACGGGTCCATATGATGTTATTTTCTGATCGATATTCTAATGTTTACTCATCACAAACAGACCTGGACTTGTGTTTTGTTCCATTCACACATGTTTAACACACAAATCCTGTATATTTAGACTCTTCTCTCAAACTGAAAACACTCTGTTCCACCTTGTGATGTCATGTGGTGATACATGAAGTGCTCCACTGTGTTTTCAAACTACGAACACCTTCACTAGAATCATCTGGATGATTTCAGCTCTGAAACTCAACTGAAGGTAAAAGACTGTTGACATCACAAGGTGGAACAGAGCATTTTGAGGTTTGGAGATTAACACTACTAATAATAAAAGGGTTACTCAGGCATGTGTGAATGAAACACAACTCCAGGTCTGTTTTTTTTAATGAAGTAACAACTTTCTAACATGGCTTAAAGCACACAATATTGCGTAATATAGGCCCGTTAATTAAAACAGGCAATAGACCTTTTTCACCCAGCACACAGCTTTTCTCTGGCAAATTATCTGTGGAAATGTCTTGTGCATTTTGCACCAGCTTCATAAATCTGCCCCATCACCAAATCTTTATCCAACAAGATCCACAAAGCATAAATATTCAAACTGTCAAGGTAAGAAAAACGAAAACATAAAGGTGTACAACTACAACGCATTAGTGAACTACTGAGAAAAACTAACGTTATGGTCATGAATAAAACATAAGTTTTACTTGTGAACTCAGACTGATTCTAGAATTAAAATTAAAAATCGATTTCATGATGTAGATATAGGCACAGATAGAGAGATTTGTGTAGTTTGAATGTTACAGATGTTCACAGGTTACACGTCTAGAATTTAAACAACACAGATCACTCCGTCTATGCTGATATCTACATGATGAAATACATTTAAAAAATAAAAAATAAATTCTAGAATCAGTCTGAGTTCACAAGTTACTTATGTTTTATTCATGATCATAATGTTCGTTTTGCTCAGGAGAAATTCACTAATGTGTCATTGGTGTTGGCCTTCATGTTTTCGTCTTTCTTACCTTGATAGTTCTTCATGGACAGAATATGTCCTTTGTCGACCTTCTTGGATGAAGATTTAGTGATGGGGCAGATTTATGAAGCTGATGGAGAACACACGAGACATTTCCACAGATATTTTACCATAAAAAAGCATTTTTTTACCCTGCATCGCAGCACTTCCTGCCATTGTGAAAAAGCACATTAGCTATAACAGTTACATTTTCACTCATTATTTAGGCAAAACTATAAGCAGACAACAAAAATAAAGACATTTTATTTTGATAGTTTTAACAAAAGTGAAAAATAAAGTTATGATCATTACTTCAACATTGTCAGCCTTGGTATGGAATTTTAAAGCTAAATACCGGTATCGGCAAATATCGATTACTGGCTACAGCAGTAGACCAAATATCCATATCAGCTCAAAAAAAAAAATCTATTTTGCACTATTTATCTATTTTTACATGTATTGCTAATCCAAGAATATCTGAAAATATCTTAGAATGTTATTTAAAATGATAAAAGTTCACATTTTTATACATCGCTTTTCCACCTTCAAGACACTCAAAGCTCTTTACGCACACACACACATTCATACACCAGTGTTTTGTTTTTTTGTTTGTTTGTTGTTATAATATATTGTGGTGTGAGCTACTGTGTCCAAATAATTTCCCTTGTGGATCTATAAAGTTTGTCTAAGTCTAAGTTAAGTCTCTTGCCCAGGCACACAGCAGTAACATTCATCTGTGTGAGCCGGAATCGCACCGCCAACGTTCGGATCGGCTGAAAAACGCTGTGCCAACCGCGCTTCTGCCGTCCTGTCTAAGAATGTTGCGTAAAAGGTACACTGTGGAACTTTTTCTGGTGGGCTAAGGGGGAAGTGGGAGCGGAGATCACATTAAAGCCATTTATCAGCGGCGGACAGAGCGGAGCCGAGCGCCGCGGAGACAACCAAGGACTCAGCCTCGTATCATTCAACTCCAGCCCTCTTAAAGCTCCGCCTCCTGGGACCCCCATGAAACATTTAGCCCCTCGCATGACGGGGTGGGTGTGGGGTGGGGAGAGTGCGGTGCTCGGGATGGGAGAAGGAAGGAACGAAGCGTAGATCGTGACCTACTTTGTGACCTTATTATTTGACACCTGTCTTCTGCGATCTTTTTTACTACTTATTTTTTTTTAGAATTTATGATTACTGAGCTTGGGACGGGACGTAGTTCTCACGAGACGAGACACACCGTGAGAATGAGATCAAGACAAGATGAGATTTTGACTTAATTTGGAATAAATAATATTAATAAAGTAGTTCAAATCCATTTCACCATTTTGGATTTGTTATTTGTATTTATTTGATGTAATACTTAACGATGCGCTATGGAATTTTTTGGTTAGTGGACAGTAATCCGTGTGTCATTCGTTCATCTGTTTTTCAAAATAAAACCAAAAATAAGAAAATTAAAAAACAACTATTTTCATCATTATTTGTCTCCAAAACCAAAATGAAAAAACGGATAATGATTCATTTTGTCAGTTTTCGATTTTGTGTTTAAATAAATAATGGAAAAAACTGATAAAAAATGTTTCTGTGACTTAGACTGCGTTGCCGGACTTTTGCACCGCATACGGACTGAACCAAAACTGAACCAGGACTAAAACAGGACTAAAACAGGACTAAACCAGGTCTAAACCAGGTCTAAACCAGGACTAAAATAGGACTAAAACAGGACTAAACCAGATCCAAACCAGGATTGAACCAGGACTGAGTGTTGGGATAAGCCCGGAGATGGGCCTGCGTAGACTGTCCGATGATCAGGACTGAGACCGAGACCAAACCAGGACCAGGACCAGGACTGAGACCGGGACTGAGACTGGGACCAGACCGGGACTGAGGCTAGGACTGAGACCGGTTTAGTCCTGGTTTAGACCTGGTTTAGTTCTGGTTCAGTTCTAGTTTAGTCCTGGTTTAATCATGGTTTGGTCCTCGTTATCCATTTTTTAATTTTGGTTTTGGAAAACTATATAGAAGAAAATAGTTTTTTTTTATTTTATTATTTTTTGGTTTTATTTTGAAAAAACGAATGATACGAACGAATTGCCCATCACCTGTTGCTATGGATATGTCATTGCTCTGCCTGGAATGTTCCACAGTATGACTTTAAACAGCTCTACCTTACATTTGTTCAATTACAGTTGACTTTAGAGCTCAAAAATACCTGGAAAAACAGTTATTCTGATGCGAGCGGGGTCGCCTCCCCACAGATCTGACCTGTAACCTTGGTCTGGTTTGGTCTCCATGATGATAGAAAGGTTTAATACCACACTGTGAAACATTCCAGACAAAGTAATAACATCCCCATCCAACAGAAAAGTTACACAAAATTACAGTTTCTCAAATTGTATAACTCATCAGCTCTTAACTCTTTTATTTTATTTTTTTTTTTGTTGAAACCATAGGTAAATTCAGGTGGAAATAACTCACAAGATCATTTTTCTTGTTCTGGCAATTTCGTCTTGCGAGATCTTGTGGCACGAAGTCTTGTCCCATCTCCTTAACGCTTAAATTTATATAGATGTATATATTAAAAAAAAATGTTTAGTGTGTGTTTTTGTGTTTTTGCCTTCAAGCAGATGGTAAATGAAGTTGAGATTATTCATTTGACAATCGCAAAAAAAGAAACTTGGATATGTTGCAAATTTGGGACAACTAGACAAAGTAAACAAGCGCTTGCCAAAGGTTTCTAGGAAGGTACTGCATAGGCACTAACCGACACCGGGGGAACGCTTGTATCTTGATCCAAACGGTTTGTCGTATATTTGTGACAGTCGGCGTTAAGGGGCTAATTATTACCATTTATATTTTTTTACTCCTTGTGTGTCCTTATATTATTTTGTGATGTGTGAGCGACTGTGTCCAAGTCATTCCCCTTGTGGATCAATAAAGTTTTTCTGAGTCAAAGTCTAAACCTGACCCAAGGGTGCAGAGGTGAGGGACCGTGAGAGACGGAGGGAAGACAGGAGGAAGATGGCTGACGAAATGAGGGTAAACAAGGGCTCTGGAAGTGTTTGTTAAAAGGATACGGTGGAACTTTTCTCTTAGAGCTGATTTCGTTTACATGACCATCGAGCTGTGTTGCATTTCTGTGGGTATCATAAGGACTTGTAATCATGGGAATTGTCTTTTTAATAATATGGAAGTGTTGGTGACTGTGTAGGGTTAAAGGGGTACTGTGGAACTTTTCTGCAAGAGGCTCTGCTACCTCTTCGGTAAATGGTACTGTAGATGGTCACATTTTTATGCAGCGTTTTTCCATCTTTAAGTCACTCAAAGCGCTTTACGTTACCCGTTCACGCTACTCCTGCACCAGTGTACGCAGACACCGCCGGCGAGTTGGGTTAAGTGTCTTGCTCAAGGACACAATAACTGCATTCATCTGTGGGAGCTGGAAAAGCACCGCCAACTTGTGGGTCAGTGGATTTGGTCGCTCAACCAAAGATGTTTTTCTGTTTAGAGCGCAGAGGTGGGACCAAGTCGTCATTTTGCAGGTCTCAAGTCTTTCACCTCAAGTCCGAGTCAAGTCCCAAGTCAAATACAGGCAAGTGCAAGTCGAGTCTCGAGTCACTGGCCCATAAGTCCAAGTCAAGTCCAAGTCGTCTGCTTTGAGCTTCAAGTCATTTCAAGTCTTTAAACCAAAGTACCAACTACAGCTTACATTTTTGCAATTTATATGAATTTTAAATCTGAATTTGTTCTATTCTGACTGTAATGATTCACTCTATGATCTTGTCAAAACATTTAAAAAGGAAAAATTTGCATTTGTACAACTTCTGTTCTCTATAAATATTCATATATAAACATACTATGACTTTATAAGTACAATTTATCTTAAA